CAGGAACGAAGTCTTGGTCCAGTCACAAATAGGTAGGCTGATTTTACAAATAAAGACAAATATTTTTAACATAAATTCCAGCTTCTTAAATTAAATCTTTCTATTATATCATCATACATCTTAATTTCCTACTAAAACAAAGCTCATTTTTATATTCAATTATAAATTCAATTATAAATCAAAATTCATTACCGCTCTTTCTAAATTTTTCTCCATTGCTCCTTTAACATCAACATTAAACACAAAAATGATCTAATCTATTAATCTATATATTTACCTTACAATTTTATCACCACAAATCTTAATTTCCAAATGTGTACAACTCTATTTTTATTTCAATTTATTAATCAAAATTTCTTTCTATTTTTCTCGATTTCTAGACCCATTTCATCCAATCTTTTAGTCTTAAACTTTTACACAGACATCTCAAATTTTTCCATTTCATTTTAATTATCGCCCAACATTTTCTTCTTCACCCCTTATTAATAATTATTCTTCAGAGTATTCTCTTCTATACCTCCAATTATTATTTTGCTAATTTCCAGCATAGTTTATTTCAGCTAATTTCAGCGTTTTCCTCCATCACTCCACCTATTGTTTGGCTGATTTCCAGCATTTTCTCTTATTCGGGCTGATTTCCAGCATGCTTTATTTTGGCTGATTTCCAGCATTCTTCTCCCTTACTCCACCTATTATTTGGCTGATTTCCAGCATTACTTATTTTGCTGAGTTTCCAGCACATTCTCCTCCAAAACTCCAATTATTATTTGGCTGATTTCCAGCATTTTCCATTGTTTTGACTGATTTCCAGCATGCTTTATTATGGCTGATTTCCAGCATTCTCCTCCAAATCTCCACCTATTATTGGCTGATTTCCAGCATTACTTATTTTGGCTGAGTTTTCAGCATATTCTCCTCCATAGCTCCCACTATTAATCTGCTAGTTTATTTTAAAATTTCCTTTTTCAATATGTTTATCTATTAATCCACTATTACCAGCTATACTCTTCCAGGGTGAATCCCCATCTATTTCTTAATACTAATCATTTCCAACATATATTAAAATCATTCTCAGTTGTTACTTCCATCTGTGTATCTTATTGTATCATCTATGATCATTAACAGTTAATCATAATTAACCTCCACCACTTTGTTATCAAATTAAAACAAAACATGTTACATCCAATTATGCTTTTATAAAAATATCACTTTTAGTCACCTTACCTTCCAAGTTCTATTTTATTTATCTTTTGTTTTTTTTATTTTCTATCTCTATATTGTGGCCCGCCAGCGGCCTGCGTGGATCGTGGCTGATCCCGACGAAGAGGAGGCTGGTGTGGTGTCACACCAGCAGCTTGCGCAGCCAGCACTCGCGTCAGACAGGAGGCTGAAGAGGATGTGGTGCCAGAGGCAGAGACTCAACCAGGGCCTTCAGAACCTCCAGAGGTTCCTTCAAGTGGAGAGACGAAGTGGAGGAGCCTCTCCTCAATGCTCAAGCACGCAGGGCTGCCAAAAGGCAGGAGTGGCTACTCAGGAGGAGAAGTTCTATTCGAGAGTAGGGCTTGAGGATAATTGGCCACTCCCTTAGCCTATTTAAGTTACACACAGCTAGTGCTTTCTTGCTGGAAACAACTCGCATTTATTATCAGAGTATTTTGGTTTATCATATCTTGTTTTCTGGGCTGGTTACCAACCTTTGCCGGTCTTGTTTATTCTTGCTACTTAATAAATTTGATAAGGACCATTGGTGTGTGTCAATTTCCTCAGAAATCCGGAGCTGGGGCAGAACACTCTATTATGCCATAAGCACCTCTTATTTTTATTTAAAACTCACTTAAGCATTAAACCATTTAAACAAGTAAGCATTCAAACATTGCCGTCTGAGTTTATCTATTTTACTTCTTCATTTCCTTATCTGTCCGTTAATATTTCATTTCAAAGTCAATACTTCCATGCTTAAAACTCTGCATGTTCTTTTTAATGAACCAAGGATTTGAAGTAGTACCTTCCCCTTCCAGAAATTTTCAATCACAAAAGATTAACATGATCAGAATTCTGGAGAGGAAGCAGCATCATTTTGTTCTGTCCTTAAAAATTAGACAGCAAAGAGGCCCAGGACAATCTAACAAGGTTTATAGATTATACTAGGCCATTATACATTTGATTTTGATTTTGGCTTAGCACAGTGTGTGAATCTAGCCACTGTGATTTGTAAACAATGGTTTATGGCTTAAAATTGGGAATTCATCCAAATTGTGGCTTAGTTGACAAATCATGATTAAAACTCTGAATCCAGGCATCTGCATCTAATGCTCCAAATATACCAGAATTGGCTAACGTAACTTTATAAAGTTTGGTTCAGTTTCCTATATTAATTTAAAATTTAATTTAATTTAAAAATACACAATTTTCATCCAGAGCTAATTAAAGTTCAGCATTTAACCCTAAACCTAACACATGTAATTTTCACATGAATTTCCCGTCCTCCTTATGCAAACATTGAAAATCTGAGTATCCATCTCTTTATAAAAAGCAATTCATATGAAGTGCATAAAATTACTGAACATGCAGTTTCTTCTGAAATGGAATTATACAGTACCCCCAGAGGTGGGCATCACATACTGTAACAACCGGTTCACCCGGAACCAAAAATGTGAGCATGCCGAAGAGTCAGGGGATTAAAGGTAAAAATCAAGTAATAAAGAAAAAAGGGTCCTCATACTGTTATCAACCTCATCCTTTTATCATCTAGTATAGTGACGGCTAACCTTTTGGGCACCAAGCGCTGGAACCCGGAAGAGAGCAGCTGACTGGTGCGCATGCACATCGGACCAGCTGGCTGGTGCACATGCGCGTGACCGAACCCGGAAAAGGAGTTGGCTGCCGCACAAATGCGCATCAGTCAGCTGCTCTCTTCTGGGTTCCAGCACTCGGTGCTGAAAAGGTTAGCCGTCACTGTGCTAGGCTGTGGTATGGCAATTACCAATACAGCAATTTTGTGGGTTAGTTTCATGTAAGTATGTGCGCGACGGAACCAGAAAGAGAGCAGCTGTCTGGCACGCATGTACGCAACAGAACTCGGAAGAGCAGCTGGCGACAGCACATGTGCCCACAGAGAGGGCTCTGTGTGCCACCTCTGGCATGTGTGCCATAGGTTCGCCATCGCGGATCTAGTATGTCAGATTAAGGAGCTTTGATATATTATACACAGTCAGGATATTAAACAAATCAATGACGAAGAAAATCTTAACAATTTTGGTTGACTGTATAACCTGGAAACCTGGAATAAAAAAGTAAAATTCTAAACATTATCAATTCTAAAGGATTGGGAAAAGAATTGTGCAGAATATCTAAGCAATTTTCCAACAACAAACAACCCCTTTTACTGTATACTATCTTCATTCTGTGGATTGGGTGACATTTACAATGTTTTACCAGTTTACATTAGGATTTAGGAACTATGATGCATTACATTGCTAATTTGATCAACAGACATTTTACCTGTGGTGATTTTTTTTTTTTTTTTTGAGTTAAGGACTAAAAACGAACAGGAACTGTACCTTCATTATTAATGCAATCTAGTTTGTGACAAGAACATATTACTCTTTCAAGTAAATTCACAACCCTAATCCTTTTTGGTTATTAACTACCCTGTTTCCCCCTGATTATCAGACACCGCCTGATAATAAGCCCAATCGGGCTTTTGAGCGCATGGTAATAAGGCTAAGCTCTTATTTCAGGGTTCAAAAAAATATAAGACAGGGTCTTATTTTTGGGGAAACACGGTATAACAATGTACAAATCACTTGCTCATAAAAAGTAGAGATTTATTTTTAGAATTGAACAATATTGAAAAGTTATTTAAAACCTATTCTGATCCAGGGCTCATGACTCTTATTTGTTTTTACCTGCTTGAAATTCTGTAGCTTTAGCTTGGAATTAAACTAATTATTTTAAAAACTCATTTAAGGCTATGGCTACGTAAAGAAAGCATTTTTTTTTCTTTCAATGCACTTTATAGTTTCTCCTTCCTAATCCTGCTATTAAAAAACAGTGTTTGGAGTCCGAGGGCCTATCTTCAGTACATTCCACTGAATCCTGCTATATTTATCTGAAACACAAAGCTATGAGGCTGTTCAAAAGAAGTTGACTCAGCTAACAAGATACAAGAGTTTGGCTTTTTCCGAAGCATATCATTCTCCACAGGGTAAAACCACACACACATACACAAATCCCCATTCTTCCACTCTTGATACCAGCAGACTGGCTGATGCCTGTCAATGAAATTTTGCCTTTGAATGCCATCATGTGGGCATGTTGCCCATCACAAAACCACCTGCTCCGATACTACAGAAGAGCGGATCTACAATGAACTCAGATGCTCCCCAGCCAAAATAAATGCTTTTCTTGTTGTTGATGTTGGATTATTATTATTATTATTATTATTATTATTATTATTATTATTATTATTATTATTATTATTATTTTTGCTTTACAAATCCAATGATCACACCCTGGACTAGAACAAATGTTAAGGAAAGCACATTCCTCCCTCCCCTCTCCTCTTTTTTTTCAGGGAAGTTTGATCTGTCCACCCCATAGTCCTAACTCCACAGACTAAATTGGGGTGGGGGGGGCACGTGCCATAAGGGATGTGTATATATATATTATATATATATATGTATATGTGTGTGGATAGATAGATAGATAGATAGATAGATAGATAGATAGATAGATATAGATAGATACTGATATATAGATATATATATGGTGATATATAGATAGATATATAGATTGGTGGTAGGGAAAGAACCCTGTATCTATATCTATAGCTTCAGGCACACACCAACCAACCCAAAGAGGCCAACGCGACACCCCAGCCAGCCGGGTACGCCCGTTGTTCACGGGAGGAGCGGACTTTTCCCACCGGAGGCTGAGGTGAGATAGGGCGGGGGGAAAACGGACGGACGCGGGGACGAAGGAAGGCGATGCCACCTCACCTTTCGAAAAGCATGCGGATCATGAAGATGCAGAAGGCCAGGGGAAAGGCTAAGTAGAGGTCCTCCACCTGAGGGAAGGTGGCTTCTTCGGTGTTCTTCAGATCCGCCCAAGTGACATTGTGGGGCAGCCAAAACCTCTCGTTCCAGAACCAAGCCAGGATCCCTGCCATCTTTGCTTTGTCTGGCTCAGCTTCTCCCACTCCCACCCCCACCTTTTTTTTTCTTTTCTTTCTTTTTTTTTTTTTGCTTTCCTCCTCGCTTGCCGCCGCCTCCGCCGCCGAAGATGCTCAGGCGCGCGCGAGTGCCGGGCGAGCTTGATGTGCCTTGAATGTGGCCGGTCAGCGCTATGGATGCTATTCTAAACCCCTCCCTTGAGCGGCGGCAGCAGCAGCAGCAGCCACAGCCAAGCTGGGCCCGCCCAGCCTCGCCAGCTTGCCAAGCTTCAGCGAAAGGGGCCTCCCTGCCTGTCACAAGTCCTTCAAGGAGGCGCCCCCTGATTGGCTGGCGGGATTGTCAACCAGCTGGACGCAGGCGAGTCCTAACGCTCCCCGATGCAGCTGCTTCTGCCCCCCCCCCCTTTTTCCCCCCCCCCCCCTCCGCCCCGTTCGATCGCGGAAGGAATGAAGGGTGGATTCCGGGCCCGGCAGATTTCTTCCTTGGGGGTGCTGGATGTTGGGGGGGGGGGGTTTAACCTGGGGATGTAGGGGGGATGTCGAGATCTGATGGATGATTTGTGTTGCTTGCAACGAATCGAACTTTCTAGCTCTCTTTGCAGGAAACCAAACAACAACAAAGCGTTGCCTGTCGATTGGGAATTTAGGCATGGCTTTTTAAGAGGTCGGTGTACCCATCCCTAGAATCATGTCACATTGTGGAGAAAAATAATAGGACATCAGGGAAGGCAAGGAGCCCATCTGCTTTGAGCAAAATATGGAGCGTGGGTTTTCCTCCCCCCACCCCATAAAATATAAACAGGTGTGCAAGGTCTGTGCCTAAGTTGAGCTGTAGGATAGCCTACCTTCTCCTCCCCCTCCCTCAAAAAAATAAAAATAAAATTAGGTCGCAGCAGCGGAAGCTTTAGGCAACAAAAGTCAGATGGGTCCATGTGGGGTGTGCTCTGATTCCCATTCTGCAGGGGGAAAACTTTTAACCCGAAATTGCAGAGTAAGCACGCTGCCAAAATAGTTGTGTGGTTTTGTTTTGTTTTGTTTTGCTGAATGAAGAAACACTTCTTTTAAATGCCTTCTAATCAACTGGAGCCCTAAGGGTAGGAAGAGAGGCCCATTGGCTCAGCTACAAGGCTTATGGATAAGTTTAAGCGTCCCTGAACGGGGAAGCAAATAGGATGTAAAACATGTTTTGTAACCTTCATGAGGCAAGAAGAGTTGCACTTGTGGCAGATGCTGGGAGATCAGGACAGAGGGGAGTTTGCTGTGTGACATCAGTGCCATCATTTTGACTCCGTTCCTGGTTTGCTGCAGATGCTTTGTGTGTCTTGGTGAGCGTTTAATTGCATGATAACTCACCAGCTGTGTTCGCCCAACACACTAAGCACCTATAAAGAATTCATGATGGTGTCCCCTGAAGCTATTTTATTATAAGATTCATTAAAAGGGCAGACACTTCCTGAGGATCATGGTGTTATCTGAATCGGGAGCAGCCCTGGTTCCTCATTTGCAGAAACTGGAATTTAAAGACTTGTTTAATTTTCAAATGTGGGTTATTCTTCAACCCAAATACTGTTTATTTACTTCCTGGAGCTATTCAGGGTTTCCCTCATTCTAATTAGGAGTTCAAGACCCAGCATAAAAAGTCACTCTTCCAGTTGTTCCTGCTATAACCCCTTGGAGCATGTTGAAGAGTCATTCGGTCCTAGTGCAGAACCTTCTCCACTATACTTTACTGGAGTTATTTTCAATTGGATGGCATGCTGAGCTTTAGGTACATTTTTTAACTTGGACCAATAATCACGATGAAGGTTCAAAGAGGAGTAAGATTAGTTCATAAGCTTTTTTGTTCTTCCTTTTGGGTATAGCATGTATAGGAACAGAGTCATTGTCTTGAAACTTAAACCTAGTCTATTTTGGAATCTGAATTAATATAATATTACATTACACTACTCTTCAAAATGGTTGGTTCTTCATCCTCAGTTTAGGATAGGATAGGATAGGATAGGATAGGATAGGATAGGATAGGATAGGATAGGATTTCTTTATTGGCCAAGTGTGATTGGACACAAAAGGAATTTGTCTTCTGTGCATAAGCTCTCAGTATACATAAAAGCTATAAGTAATAACAAATGATCATAGACATCATAAAAATACATTTGGTACTATAGAACTAAAATATGTTTTGCTCTATATCTGTCTATCTATCTATCTATCTATCTATCTATCTATCTATCTATCTATCTATCTATCTATTTTCAGGATCTCCGGAAAGATGGAATCAAAGAAGAATACAAATGTTGTGTTAAATCACCCTGTTTAAGAACACCAGAAACAACAGTTCAAGTCTAATTGGACTTGCTTGTGTTTCCAACAAAGTAACTCTCTTTAAGCCTCTGAGAAATTCAGAAGGACACACTTGAATATGACAGTGTAATTTCATTTTGAGAAACATATGTGAGGCATGACGTCCTTTTTAATGGAAGAATGCACACTGACCAGTATTCATGCTGGTGGCAGCTCCCATTGCCATTATCATTTCTCTTGGCTGTAGATACTAAAATCTTTCCGTGCACAAGAGCTGCACTGATCTGTATTCTTATGATTCTGCAGCTTCTGGAGGCCTTCACAGGCTACGCTAATTAATTTTTAAGACCTGGCTTTTCCGGCAGGCCTGGGGCCGTTGATCTCGCTCTTGTGATCTGGCGAGATCTGGCCATGAATGGTGTGAATGAGTTTTTAAGGTTTTTAATTTTTCAATGTTTTTTTATAATGATTTTTTAAAATGTATTGTAATGTATTAAATTAAATTAAATTTTGGTTCAGCTGAAAATAATGGTTTTGCAGTGTTTTCTCTGAAACTATGAAGTGTAGCTACTTTCTGTTTGTGGGAACTCTTATCTTTATTTGCTTCCTAGCATTTAGGCTCTCCTTTCTTGAACTAAAGTGCCATACATAGTACTTTGCTGTCTGCCAAACCATGTTATTTTGAAGTATTCCAGTAGTTACTTTGCCATTTGCCCTCACCCAATCATGTTTTCCCTTACTATAAAAACAAATGTAGTGAGACCGGAGAGACAGAAAGCTGCTGGAATTTTTGTTTTCTGCTTCCTATTGGTCAGATGGATGATCCTCTCCCTTATTCCCCACAGCCTAAGGGGAATAGCACTGAAAGCATTAATATAGTTCTGTGAAAGTGTTGCATGAGGTTTGTGGTGTTCTGGAAGGGCTGTTAGTTGCGTGTTAGGGTCTTTTGTTGTTCTTTCATTGCAGTTCAAATCTTTCTTTTGTTGCGCTTTCAAGAATTGTTTTTTTATGAATAGAATTTAATTTGCAGACTAATTTTGTAATGCTGCATGGGAAGTTAGATAAAACCCACTGTTGTCTAAATCTCCATATATTTTAATTGCAAAATATTCAAGCATTTTGAAAAGTCTGGCATTTTGGTTGTGTTTCAGAATGTACACCTGATTTCTGCATGTTTGTCTGATTTCTAGGAGATGAGGCTGGATTCATAAAACATGCTTATAAAGACTGATTTCTACAAATCTGAAGTAGTGGTTACAGGAAGTCCTTGACGTATGACCACAATTGAGCCCAAAATTGTGAAACATTTGTTAAGTGAATTTTGTCCCATTTTACGACCTTTCTTGCCACAGTTAAGTGAATCGTTGCAGCTGTTAACTTAGTAACATTATTGTTAAGTGAATCTGTCATCTCAAGTTTTGAGTGCTCCATCACTGGAGGCTTTTAAGAAGAGACTGGACAGCTACCTGTCTGAAATGGTATAGGGCAGTGGTGAAATCCAAATTTTTTCACTTATCGGTTCTGTGGGTGTCGCTTGGTGGGCGTGGTGTGGCTTGGTAGGCATGGCAGGGGAAGGATATTGCAAAATCTCCATTCCCACCCCACTCCAGGGGAAGGATACTACAAAATCCCCATTCCCTCCCCACTCCAAGGGAAGGATATTGCAAAATCTCTATTCCCACCCCACTCTGGAGCCAGCCAGAGGTGGTATTCTCCGAACTGCTCAAAATTTCCACTACCAGTTCTCCAGAAACTGTCAGAACCTGCTGGATTTCACCCCTGGTATAAGGCAGGGATGTCAAACTCGCATTGTCACGGTGTCGTCACGTGATGTATTGCGACTTTTCCCCCCTTTGCTAAACCGGGGGTGGGCAGCACATGATACATCTAGCCCATGGGCTGCGAGTTTGACAGCCCTATTATAGGGTCTCCTGCTTGAGCAGAGGGTTGGAATGGACCTGCAAGGGCCCTTCCAACCCTGTTCTATGTTCTTTGATACAATTTTTCTACTGTTTTATCTTGGTGGTTTTAAAAATGACCTTACTGGCTGCCTCATTCTTTTCTGTGTGAACATGTTAGTTGCTTTGGGAAATACGTAGATAAATACATGTTTTGGTTTCACTGTTATAATTGAGAAAGGAAACAAATATTTCCTTTTTAAAAATAAACAGTTTATTAAAAGTTTTACAAAGAACACAAAAACGAATGAGAAAGTAGAAACCGTAAAAAAGAAGAAAGAAAACAAGCAAAAGTTTAAAAAGAATAAAAATTAGAAGCTTCCAATTTCCTTTTCAATAAATTGAAGTTATGTCTTAAATTTCAAAGTTATGTCTTACTTTATAATAAAAAAGCTCGCTTTTCTTCTATTCTCCCATTTTCTTCTCATCAAAATTACAAATCATAAATGCATTTTTTTCCTTTTCATGCAAAAAAGTCTATAAGGGGTTTTCAGTCAGTCATAAATGTAGATATTAGTTTTTTCCCTCCTCTAAGCAGAGAAATTAATTCAGCCATCTCCACAAGTTTCATCTTTTCCACCACCCATTCCTCCATTGTGGATAGAGTTGAACCTTTCCATTTTGGGTCTTGCTGCAGTTGTCATCCTTAAAACCAGTATTATATTATTAACCAGATAACTTATACAAATCTCTCTAACTGGAATCTGTGGAATGTTTAGGTATTTATTTATTGTGCTTTTTAGTTTGCTAACACATAGGAAAAATTAAGAAATCTTGCGAAATATAAATGATCTAAATGACATATTAGGGAAGCAACGCTTCCATAGAGATATTTATTTTGAATTTATTATATTTGCAATATGGCCTAAATTGGGGTAAATGTAGATCATCATAATTTTGTTGAAATCTTTCCTAATATAGTAGTTGGGTGGATTTCTTACCAGCAAGTACTT